CCCACCCTCCCTCATATTGTCAGCAGGAACTCAATGGACTCTTTCATCAAGAACGTTCCCTGCATATAGAAAATTAGACTGCAGTTACAAAGATCCCACTCTAGCATTTTTCCTGTCATACTAGTTTCCTGCAGGTACCATATTTAGATATTTCTATATAGGGGAATATTTTTTGTTATATTTATAATATACCTTTTGTTGAGGAACACAAGCCTCCTATTTCCAGCCTCCTCATTTGTGCAAAGAAGGAAAGGTGGCACAATTGGTCTGGAGGAGGAATACAGAAATCCAGATTCAAGGATAAAACGGGATTCAGAGAGTTTTGCTTGGGATTGTGCATGAGGCAGACATGCAAGCTCAGGAAATGAAGCAGCTATTTAAAGTCTTCCTGATCAGCGCTACACTGTTTCCCTGCATGCTCCAGACCACATTTTGTCCTTTCAATCTGGATCCCTAACTTGTCCTAATAACCATGTGGAGTTTCACAACATCTGGGCTACTTCCTCTCTTTACATCTTGAGTGTAGTGCACAAATCATGAATCTTGAACTTGAGAAACTGGTATCGGGATGCCTCTTTGCCATCTCTTTAATTCTAAGAGATCATTCAGTGGGGAGGATGAGAAACATATCATAGAGAAGATTTATAAAAATGTATCATAATGTGGTTTTTAAAAAAGAGTTTGTCTTCACTGCAGTAGATCAGAGCTTTTCAACCAGTGGTACGGGTACCACCTGTGGTACATTGGCACCTGGCAGGTGGTACGTGAGCATCCTAGAAAAGTGGTACCGGGGGAGGGGAATGAGCTGAACCGGTGGCAGCACTGCACAAGCCTGAGCGAGAGATGGCTGGAGCTGCAGGGCTGTCAGGGCTCAGTGGAAGCGCCAGGATCAGTACCGCTTTCCAGCTGATTGGCATTTCTTTGGGACTGTCAGGGCTCAGTGGAAGCGCCAGGATCAGCGCTTCTTCAGGACTGTCAGGACTCAGTGGAAGCACCAGGATCAGTGCCAGGCTCCAGCTGGAGCTCAGCGCTGATCCTGGCGCTTCTGCTGAGCCCAGAAGAAGCGCCGATCAGCTGGAATGTTGCAGCATCTCCAGGGTCTTGTGATTTACATTCAGATGCTTGGCCACTGATTCATATTTATGACGGTCACAGTGTCCCAGGGTCATGTGAAGTGACCAAAACCTGCTGCAACTACCCAGCAGATGGGGGGAATAAAAATCAAATGCCCCCCCACCCCACCCCCGCTGCCAATCCTCAACAGAAACGCTCACAACAATGAAAACCTCGGACAGGAGGAAGAGCGCCGCCGGGCAGGCAGGCAGGTGTCTTGCTCGGCTGTGGCTTGGGGGGCACTTTTTTCAGTGCCATTGTAACTTCAAACAGTCATTAAGCGAACTGTTGTAAGTCGAGGACTACCTGTACTTTATCGCTTTTTTCCTTTTTTTTTTTTTTTGATTATCAAGTTTTTGACACCTTGCTAGGCGACTGGTGGTACTCGGATATTGCTATATCCTAAAAGTGGTACAAAGGGTGAAAAAGGTTGAAAAGCCCTGCAGTAGACCAACCTCCCCCATTGGACTGCTCCCAGGATGCACGGACAAAGCAACACCCATTCACTATTTGGAGCCCAAAGGAAGCTGCTGATGATCTACAACCAAGTTAGATGAGAGGCAGGAAAGTGATTAACACTGACAAAGAGTGAGCCCATCCTCTCTCAGTTCTTCAAGTGCGCTCTTGCCCAGCATCCTGCGGGGCCAGCTTTTTTTTTTTTTGTCTCCATGGATGTGTCCAGACAGATGTGAGTGGAGCCTTCTCTCAACATCGTCTCATCGATTTCCAAAGTCGCAATGTTAAATTTTATCAAGCTAAATTTTTAAGGAGAAGCTCTTGGAGCTGTCACATTAAACGAAGACCACCCACACAGAGCCTTCTACCAACCTAATCTTCCAACCACTGTTCTATCCTCTGTTGCGTTGGTTCAATTGGCACATATACTGATCATGCCAAGCCCCGGCTTTCTTAATCACGATAGTTTAAAAAGTCTCCACCTGATGGGTACACGCAACGTACCGACTCATGAATTCTGCAAGCACAAAGAGCAGAGTACATAGACCACTGCAACACTACCACCACAACCCTGCTCTGTAGTGGAGAATAACTAAGATTATACTCTTCCATGGGTAGGTCAAACTTGTCCTCTTTCTGAAGTGCCTGGATCTGATTTCACAGTGATTATACCTCCCTACCATTTCCTGTTGTGAAGTGGGGAACAGAGAAATCCCAGAAACTGGCATATCACTATTTGAAATTGTTTGCACCAGAGGAATTTTTTTTCACTTGAACGCCTGCCTTACTTCTCAGGTTCACTGCACATGTGACCAATGGAACAGCCACAGTTCCAGGCAACCACTCAAACTCAAAGAGGCCAAGCCACTTCCGAAGGGAGCCCTCCCCTTTCTCCCCCCTCCACACCCCACCCTGCTTTTTCCGGCTGGTGGCTGCAGGGACCAGGGAGTCCGTCTGTCGCCAGAAATCCGGTCAAATTAGGCAGGAAGCCAAACCAGGAGCCTGTCCTTTTCTTCCAAGCTATGTTTGGCTATTCCTTGGTATCGCCCTTCCTTAGACTAAAGAAAAAAGCCAGGAGTTCCCTGGGGAAAGCTGCCTTCCTTGGAATGGGGGTGATAGTGAGTGTGCAGCTCTTTAATCAGGGAAATGAAGACGCTTTGTCGAACAAAATCCTCCAACTCAAGAGTCCGAGGATCTCTTCGCTGGCTTACGTCCTCCAGCCCTAATTTGAATCACATTTAACTCCTGGAATACATTGTTCTTTTCTCCCTTTTAATACTAAGGTTCAAATCCCAGAACACTTCCTAACCTTAGGAAATAATTAGAAAGAAAACCACTTACTCTGAGCTTGTACCAAGTGCTTTTTTTTTTTTTTGCACTCCTAAGTACTCCTTGGATTCTAAAAAAAAGCTAGTATTTTCGGAAAAGATAGCTTCCAGGCAGACGTGGGTGCTTGCACATCCTGCTTTTAGAAGCAAAGGAACAGGCTTTTTTGGGTTTGTTTATTTGTTCCCTTTTGGTGACTAAGGAACTCAAACTGCTATTTTAGCTTAATGACAATGCTGACCGGTTGGTCCCATCAACGTTTCTCAACTTTTGCAACTTTAAATTGGGTGGACTTCAACTCCCAGAATTCCCCAGTCAGCATGGGATTCTAGGAGTTGGCATCCATAAATCCTAAAGTTGCAGAAGTTGAGAAATATTGGATTAGACCATATTTTTTTCAAGAGTAGGAAGGACGCATCCCCCCCCCCTCAGCCATTCTCAAATAGGAGATGGTAGCTCTTCCCTTTTTGTCTTTCCCTAAGTTTAAGGTTTTAGGTGACTTTCCCCGAAAAGATCCGTAATAAAAAGAATTTTGTGGCAATAAGAAAGGAGCGATAAAATAAAGGCGGATCTTATTTACACGTTTGCTAAGTCCTAATTTTTCATCAGGTTTTTTACTAACTGAGCCACAGTGGCTGGGTTCCTGCAGGCAACAGGTGAACCCGAACCAAACCACATAACGATTCCCACCAAGGTGTGACCCCAGTTAGTGAGACAGACTCTAATTGCTGCCATCTACCTGGGAGCTGAAAGAATATATAGCCACTGCCAAAGGGTGGAGAATAAAGCCAGCAATCAGTGTTTGAAAATTCAAAAGCTGAATTCAGGGAACATGTAAAAGCGACGCCCTTTTACATGTTCTATCTGCAAGCTCTCCAGCTCATTTTGGCAACCAGGGCCCAGGCTATCTGCCCCACATCTGGTTGAAACCACCAAATGGAACCCAGCAACAGCCACGAGCATCATGAAGCCAGTGCTAATAGATTTCAACAGACAAGATCAAAAGCAAGAGCTTGGATTAGCAAGCCAGACCGTGAGAATCGTCTCACTCATCAAAAATTGCTGAGAGTAGCCCTAACCACAGATGGAGCAAAAGCTCCAAAAGTTGTGTTAAGTGTACAGAGATGCTAATCACCTGAGGTATCTCTGATGAGGGAGGGATATTTTCCATTGTGATCAGGAGTTGGGGAAGGCGCCAGATTATTCTTGTAGAATGCTGATCAGAAGCAAGCATTTTGAATGTATTTGGACGAGCAAAGTCAATGGGGAAGCCAGAGTCACTTAACAACCATGTAACCAACATAAGTAACTACAGTAGTTCACTTAACAACTGTGGCTGGAAAAGTCGCAAAATGAGGCACAACTCACTTAGCAAATTTCTCACTTAACAACAGAAATTTTGGACTCAGTTGTGGCCATAAGTCAAGGATCACCTGTACACTGTCTGATGTTCTGAGAATCGACTCAGGTAAGCCTGAACTCCCTGGTAGCAGGCAGGTTTTTACCATAAGGGATAAACAAAAGCCCATGCATGGGACAACTTTGGCCAGTCACTCAATTGCGTCGTTCTTAGAAAGCAAAAAGAAACAACAGAACCGCCAATACATTTCTGTTAAGAACAGCAATATTAAAAATAAGGAATTTTTTTTTAAAAAAAATCAACCATAGCCCTCTTCCCCAACAACAGGGACAAGATGTAAACTTTCTCAGGACACACAAGGAATATTTGTTAGGCCTGTGTGCTAAAATAAAATGCACACTCAGATTCTGGTGATGTAAAAAAGATTTCACATCCTGCTTGAAAGCGAAAGCACACGGATCCCTTCGCCCTGCTCTTATCAGCACTCTTGACTCACAGGCATAATAACAAATGAGTGATTTATCTTAGCTGCACCAATATTCCTACCTCTGGAGAGGAGAAGCTCCTTGTGACTACATCGACATATCCATCACGCTTTTCTTTGACCTACAATCCTTGGGTCTCTAAGTGGTCTCCTCTCTCCAGGGCCAAGCTTGCTAGCCTCCAAGCCTAGGCAGGTTGGCCAATAGCTCCCATAAAATAGAACCAACCCAACTGTCTGCAACCACCAAGCATTCTTACTTACCCATCGGATGCCCTGGATCCTCGGGGCACTGGTCATCTGTCCCTCCAGCTGGATCCGATAGCTGCAGCTACGGAACAAGTGCATTTTTTTCCAAAGCTCGTAGAGGAGGTTTCTTTCAGGGACCGGATCCACGAGTCCCGTGGAGAACTGGGACAAGTCTGCAAGCTCACCGGGTGGAAGTTCGACATTCCACCTTCCTTGCCCACTCCAGGCCACCTTTGAGAACAAGAAAAAAAAAAGCTATTTAAAAAGAAAACAGGGACAATTCCCTTCTTCCCATCCTGTCAGCCTAGGACGATGTTGTTCTCGAAAGAGCAGTGTCATTATCACAAGTAGACAGGTACTCTTCGACTCACGACCCGCAACTGAGCCCAGAATTTAGGTCGCTAAGTGAGAAATTTGTTCAGCGAGTTTTGCCCCATTTTACTATTTTTCTTGCCACATTGATTAAGTGAATCACTGCAGTTGTTAAGTCAGTAATACGGTTGTTAAGTGAATCTGGCTTCCCCATTGACTTAGCTTGTCAGAAGGTCTCAGAAGGGGATCAGATGACACACACCCCCCCCCCGATGCTGTAACCATCATAAATATGAACCAGTTGCCAAGCATCCAAATGTAAATCACATGACCATGTGGATGCTGCAATGGTCATAAGTGTGAACAATGGTCATAGGTCCCTTTTTCCAATGCCATTGTAACTTCAAACTGTTGTAAGTCGAGGATTGCACACACATACACACACACACACACACACACACACATATACACATATACATATACATATATACACATATATACATATACATATATATACCCATATACATATATATATACATATATATACATATATATATACATATACATATACATATACATATACATATACATATACATATACATATACATATACATACATACATACATACATACATACATACATACATACATACATACATACATACATACATACATATATATATATATATATATATATACCCATGCATGGTATTTTATTGCACTTCAGAGCAGTCAAAACTTCTTACTTCTATGATTTCAGCAAAGGCAGCCACAGCCTTCATTGAGGGAGAGAGGAAAGGAACTCAACAGAAGAATGGTTTGCCTGAAGTCCACGTTGTGATATTAAATGAGAGAGTTGACCTAAAAATCTGACCCGAACACATTGCTTTGAGAACACTCCTTTTCCTTTCCATTCCTATCCGGTATTTTCTTCTACCAACTTTTGAAGCGTTGGACGATCAGGTGCCACCAGTTCTTTATCCCCCCTTTCTCTTACAGCTGGTTTAACCGGAGTTGTGCCGGAGTTCCTAAATCCGGGCGTGGAAAGCAGGAATCGGGGCTTCTCCCCTACGCTTACCTTCATGTCCGGTGCCTGGTCCTCATTGAGAATTCTGGGCGCAGCGGAGCCCGCAACCTTCGGGGATCACACGCGACGCTGTTAGGATAGCAGCGAAACGGGACCATCGGGCGAGAGCGGTAAGAAAGCGCACGAGCCCGATCCTTTTTGGTTTGAAGTTGCGATCCGGTCGGCGCGTGCTCCTTGCAAAAAATGTTTCGCTGGCACGCCCGGGAGCCACCAGGATCTTCTCGCTCTTGGCTTCCTGCTCTCTCTTTCTCTCTCTCTCTCTCTCTCTCACACACACACACACACACACACACACACACACACAAAGAGCGAGAGGGATCAGGAGCGCGCGCACACACACGCTCGTTGCTTTCGCACCTTCCCTCTTCTGGAGACGCAAAAGTGGGGAAAGCGCCGCCAAGGCTGCCGCCAGGAGAACCCTTGGCCCCGAGCCCAGAAGCATTCAGCTGGAAAAGCCCGGGAGCAACTTCCCACCCCCTCCCATTCCCCGGAACCTGGAAACCGGCAAGGCAGCGACGATTGTGGTAGAGCGAGTCCCGAGCTCAAAGCAGCCGCCGGGTGGGAGGACAAGGCAGTGCCAGAAGACGGTGGGCGAGCGAGGCACTTAGTCGACCCCCCCCGCCGTAGAGAGCTCCACGGACGTTCAGGAATCAGCCTCGCCTCGTTTCTTTCAGCCTTTTGGCCGCCAGAGTGGGCTAGAAAACAACACGCGATTCTACAAGGATCTTCTCGTTTCTCTGTTTGGAGCAGGGGTCCTCAACCTTGGCAACTTTAAGACTTGTGGACTTCAACTCCCAGAATTCCTCAGCCAGCTTTGCTGGCTGAGGAATTCTGGGAGTTGAAGTCCACAAGTCTTAAAGTTGCCAAGGTTGAGGACCCCTGGAAACTTTGGAGGAATCGACTTCAACCCTGACTTTCCTCTCAAGAGCTCCGTTTTATCTACGGATCATTTTACAGCCACAACCTTCGCCCCGTGAGGTTGGCCGGGGTGAGGCAGGGGGGCTTCTAGGACTAAAGGAGGGTTGAACTTGAACCTGGGTCTCCTCGGTCCTATACAATATTAGAAGCAGTACACTACCCTGGCTCTTCCGTTTTCCGTCCTGTTCTTTACTATTGTCCTACTGTTTGTGCTGTATTGTCCTTTTCTTCCAAGCGCGGTGTGTGTTGTACCTTTTAGAGCAACCTGCCAGACAGGATAGGCTGATTGTATGGAGGGCATTGAGCAACACTGAACCACAGGATGGCAGTAGACCCATTTTTTTTTAACCCTTCCCAATCGCAATGCTGTTTGCTTTGCTGTGGGATAACATGTGGTAAATAAAGCACCCTCGTTGTGGTTTGTCCCTTAGAACCCAGGAAAACATGGTTTATTCAAACAGCTAGGGTTAAACATAGCACAGAACGTGCATGCACTAATAAGTTCAACAAGTTGTACAATAACAATTATCCAGCCTAAACCTCTGGCTGACTGGGCGATGAACCATAATATATGAGAACCAGTCTAGTGTAGTGGTTCAGGGATCAGGCGAGAAACTTGGAGATTGTGAATTCTAGTCCTACCTTGAGCATGATGCCAGCTGGGTGACCCTGACCCAATTATTCTCTCTCAGCGGGCAACGGCAAACCATTTTGGAAAATTTTGCAGAGACTTGTCCAGGCAGTCACCAGGAGTCCACACTGACTTAAGGCACAAAAATAATTAAAAATAATAGAATTGCCATTTGTTCTAAACAGAAAGCTTCTATGGTTTTTCTATTGTCCGCTGTAGTAGAGAGAGCCAGTTTTGTATAGTGGTGAAGGCATCAGGCTAGAAATCATGAGTTCCAGTTTTGCCTTAGGTATGAAGCCCACTGGGTGACTTTTGGAGCAGGTTATAGAATAGAATGGAGCTGGAAGGGACCTTGGAGGTCTTCTAGTCCAGGCCCCTGGTCAAGTAGGAGAACCTATACCATCTCACATAAGTGACTGGCTAGCCTCTTCTTAAAAATCTCCAGTGATGGAGTGCCCACGATTTCTAGAGGCAAGCTGTCCCACTGGTTGATTGTCCTCACTGTCAGGAACTTTCTCCTTAATTCCAAGTTGCTTCTCTCTTTGATCAGTTTCCAACCATTCCAAAGCACAGTTAAGGTGCTGGTGTCAACTAACCTACATTATCCTTTCAATCACATACTTAAAACATGTTTGTTTTCCCTACCCTAATAATAATACAATCCAATAAACATTATACAATCCAATAAACATTAATATGGGAGCACGTGGCTCAATTTTTTTTCTGGACTAATTGTGCTACACACCACTGATTCAATTGGAGGCTTCTCTATCTGATCTAAGAATCTACAGTTTGCTACAGTTTGCAGAGTCTGACTTGCAGGAATTTATCCAGGGAAATTCAGCAAGCTCGTAAGGTAACAGGTCATTGTGTCACTACTTACAAAGCTGATTCAGTGGACATAGTATTTAAAGAAGATTAGAGATTGGAGCCTTAGTGGAGGAAATGGAAAAGATAAATTATACTGTGTTTCCCCGAAAATAAGACCCAACCAAAAAATAAGCCCTACCATGATTTTTAGGGTGCTCCTAATATAAGCCCTACCCCAAAAATAAGCCCCAGAGGCAAGACAAGTAGTTGAGCGGGGGTGACTGCCCTGGGGGGGAGGTGGCAGGTGGGCATGACCAGTTCACGTCACTTGCATTGGGGCACCTGTGGGGGCCTGGGTGGGACTACGGGGGATCCAGGGGTCTCTGATGGAGCGGGAGGGCACCAGGGCCTGATTCAGTGGAGGAGCCTTGCCAAATCTCTTGGGCCTGGCCCTTTAGCTCCCAGGGCGCCGGGACCCCATGGCATGGCCCTGCTGCCCTGAAAGACCGTCTCTCTTTGCCCACGGCTGCTGTGACTGGGATGGGGCAGGCAACCGCGCAGTCTCCCAGCACATCCAGCAAGCCAGATCGTGTGCCTCCCGGCCCACCCCACCCCCCACATCTCTGCCTCCACCTGCTGCTTGGAGGGCCGGACCAGCGATTGTTGTGCTCAGACACACCTACACTGCATGGGCTACAGAGTCCAAGCTACCACTTCAGAATCAGGACTCCCCGCCCTTTTGGTTTGATGGGGCTGTCGCAGGTGGGGTGGCAGCACCAGCAATAGGTGGAAGCAGAGGCACAGGGGGAGGAGAGGAGTTGCCACCACCCATCTCTCCTGCAATTCAACGGTGAAGCATCGCTCCCTGCTTTAAGCTTCACCTTTCACTGATGTTTTGGGGCCATCCTGTTGCATTGACAATGACTGTTCCTACAGCTTGGTTTCAGTGACCATGCATTCTCCCTTCCTGCAGGTTTGTTGGAAACTCTGCTCCTTCTTTCTTTCCACCTCACAACAATCGCTGGTCCCCACTTTCTCACTACCCTGCATTGCCCCATGTCTCCCTTCTCTGTTCTGGAAATGACAGCCACGTTTCCTGCAAATTCTCTTCCTGCTGTTGTGTTCCTCATTTGTATGGAAGGACGCTAAGCTCTGGGAAAACTATGCCAGCTGGAGCTGGGCAAGGAAGGCCAGGCTCCCTTTCTCCGAGGGATCTGCAAAGCTGTTGAGGTTTTGTATGGAGGAGTGGATACCCTTACTGCAGGGCCAGCCCTTGCTAAGGGGCTGGATTGAAATATACACTCAGCTTCTTCCAAAACCCATAGCTATCTTCAGCTGATAAGGAGGAAAATGTGTCTGCTCTGTGCTGCCATTGCTTTCCCTTGCCACCAGCATACCCGCTGCATCTTCTCTTGTTCTGATCTTCAGAGGCCCTGCGTGCCTCGATTCCGGCACTACCACCCTCTGATGCTTTCATTCACTTCCTTAACTTTGGTGCCGCCATTGCTTTTCCTTGCCACCAGCTTACCTGCCGTATCTTCTCTAGCTCTGATGTTCTCATTGCCTATGTGCTCAATTCCAGCACTGCCACCATTGATCAGAGAGTCCATGCCCAGTGGTGGCAGTGCCACAATGGAGGCACGCAAGGAATGAGAACATGAAAGCTAGAGAAGATACGGCAGGTAAGCTGGCGGCAAGGAAAAGCAATGATGGTACCAAAATCAGGTGGATTATACACTAAAAAGACGAAGAGTGGCAAGTTCAGAGAGTCAGTGCCCATTGGTGGCAGTGCTGGAATTGAGGAATGTGGGCACTGGGAACATCAGAACTACAGAAGATACGGTGGGTACACTGGTGGCAAGTTAAAGCAATAGCGGCACCAAACTCAAGGAAGGGAACAAAACGCAGACTACACTTAAGAGACAAAGAGTGGCAAGATCAGAGAGTGGTGACAGTGCCACTGCTTTTCCTTGCTGCCAGCTTACCCTCTGTTTCTTCTCTTGTTCTGATATTCCCAGGGCCTGCGTGCCTCAATTCTGGCACTGCCACCATGGGACATTGACTCTCTGATCTTGCCAATCTTTGTCCCTCAAGTGTCGCCTGCATTTTGTTCCCTTTGCATGGAGGAGTGGATCCACTTCCTGCAGGCTCGGCCCATTCCAAGGGGGCTAGACTCACGCATATACTCAGCTTCTTACAAAAACTATAGCTCTCCTCAGCTAATCAGGAGAAAAATATGTCTGCTCTGTGTTTTAAGGCAGAAAAGCAAAGTATCAACTGTACAACAAAACTGGCTGCAGCCATCTTGCTCGTTCTGGGTTGTCACAAGAATGGGAGGGGGAGCGGGAAATTTCTGCCAGTCTAAACAATTCTTTGTCCCGTGGGAACCAAGGTCACCTGCCGATTAGACGGGGGGCGGTTTGAGCATTCTGTTAGAAAGCTCATCAATCTATTTTATTGGGAAGAGTAGCTGATTGCATAGCACTGGGCTGCAAAGTTTAACTTTGTAATAGTGTAACTCTTTGGAGTGAATTTCAGACTTGATTTCACTTTTGATTGTGCTGATACTTTGTTAACCAATAAACATGTTCTTTGAGGAAACCTCTAGCCTCACAGTTCTAATTTAATTGGTCTCATCTGACACAAAGGGGAGGGGGCAATTTTAAAGAAAAGAAAAGCTCTTGTGTTTGCCAACCAAAGCGGGTGCCGAGGTCAACCCTGCAGGAAGCAGGTCCGCTTCTCCATGCAAAATCTCAAAGGGAGGGGGAGCCTGGCCTTCCTTGCCCAGCTCCAGCTGGCACAGTTTTCCCAGAACTTAGT